TATATAAATTCACTTGAGTTATCATTCTCAACCATTCAACAAGACTATGACAAAGGAATCCTGCAAACACTTTAGGGGCATAGTGGTGCTCTGGCAGAAGGAAACTGGGATGGGATGAAGTGAAGAGGGATGAAAAGAAATATATGTGTTGCAGAGAAAGACTAGGAAAATAGAACAGAGGATCGGCAACAGGTGCAGTTTGCAACTAAAATAGTAAAAGTATAGACTGCTTGGAAAGAAATTCCCCAAACTGGGGACAGAGGCTCAGAGAGTGCTACAGAACTAAATTAAGGTGCATTTACAAAGATATAAAACAAACTATAAGGCAGTTCTGCATCTGGATCTTGGCAACAGGAACTTCAGTCCTCAACGTACAAGCTTCATGGCCCCAATCATCCCATACCAACACACCACATGCTGGCATAACTGAATCACATCATCAGAGGAAAAAGAGCAGAGTTTTTTTTTTTAAAAAAAAAAAAGCTTCCACTAAAACAATGTGACTTTTAAAAGTTATCAAGATGTAGCAATCCAAGAATGATACTCCACTGATCACTATACACCAACTTGTTCACAACTGCTTAATATCTGCATGCAGTCAAACCAGACAACAGCAAATCTGATGCCCTTCATTTGTAAAATATATATATATATATATAAAAGGCAAATTTTATTTCCCTCAGTTTGTCAACAGTATTAATTTTACAAAGATAACTATATGCCTCCAGGTGTTTCCCAATTTGGTTTTGAAACTACCTAATCTACAATTAGGCTTCACTGATTTCAATTAGTTACTTTCAAGTAAGTATGCTTGGAGTTGAGATCTTTGCTATGGATACATTCACAAGAGTACAACCCCCAATTTCGCAAGATCAGTGTTCATGGTTCCATTTATCCACATAAAAACAACATATGTCCTCTCTAGGCATTTTCTAGGTCTTACAGTGTGACTCGATGGCATTTTTGGATCAAAAGTCCTTCATTTCAATAGAGTTCATGTATCCATACAAAGTCCATACAAACTCCATGGATAAAGGGATGTCGTATTGTACATCGAAACCATAATTGAACCACCTAGTCTTACAGCTCTTCTGATGTCTACTCCACCACAGACGTCAGAAGAGCTGCAAGACTAAAAAAAAGCAATGAGGGTAAAGACAAAGAACCACTCAGAGGAAAAGTGTTCTTCCCACACATCAAGGGAACCACTGACTGCATAGAGAAGCTGATGAAGAAAAACAACCGACAAACTATCTACAGACCTACTAAGAAAATCCAACAAATGCTACGTTCAGCAAAGGACAAGAAGGATCCTCTCACTTCTCCACCGCTGCAGCTGTATACCATGCAGCTGTGGACAAGTCTACATTGGGACCACCAAACGCAGCATTGCCCAAACACAAATCAAGAAACACGAAAGGCACTGCAAAATAATTCAATCACAGTAGTCAGTCATAGCAGAGCCCTTGATAAACCAACCTGGACACAGCATATTATTTGAGAACACAGAAATGATGGACCACTCTAACAGCCAGAATGTCCAACAACACAAAGAAGCCAATGAAATCCACAAGCATGTGGACAATTTCAACAGAAAGAAGGAAGCCAAGAAAATGAACAAAATCTGGCTACCAGTATTTTTTAAAAAAACTCTAAAATCAGGACAGTAAATAAAGAACAACACTCAAAAACAAGGGAATTCCAGACCAAGGGCCAGCTAACACCTCCCAACAAAGGATCCCCCAGGCAGCAACCAGCCAGACTTTGAAGCTGCAAGGCTATTCAATGCTAATCGAGGTGGCCAATTGCGACATTCACACTTGCCTCAAGCAGACAAGAGTTCTTTCTCCCACCCCTGACATTCCACAGATATATAAACCTCACTTGCCTGGTTACAACAGACCTCACAACCTCTAAGGATGCCTGCCATAGATGTGGGCAAAATGTCAGAAGAGAATGCTTCTGGAACATGGCCACAGAGCCCGAAAAACTCACAGCAACTGAGAAACCATAATTCTTATTGAAAGTGGAACAAATCTGTACATCCTCTGCAAATGTTAAAAATTCTAATGCATTACGCAGCAAATCTGTTATCACTTCTCAATGTAACACTGATGTATGTGCATGTGTGTATTTGCTGCGTATTATGTCTTCAAATGGATTTCTCTTGTACAATAAAAGATTAAAAACTTTATCTCATCAGAGCCATAGGAATTGCTTCCCGCAGCAAAAGGTCCGCAACTTAATTCCAAAAACAAAAAAACAAAACAAAAACATGCTAACATTGGAACCTGAGATTACTTGGGATTTAACAAGGATTAGGTCGAAATAGTTACTCTACTGCATGAAAACCTTTCTGAATTTGCGTGCCAAAGAACATTTTCCCATAATGAAGAGGAAACAATTAGCATAAGAGCAGGACAAAAACCTAAAGTAAAACAACTGATCAAACCTGGCTTTGATTTTAAATATTATAGAACGCAATCTTATTTGATAACCCTCTGTGAACTCAGAAGGGAAGTGATTCTGCAACATGAATATAACTGTCCTACTAGACCAGGCATGGGCAAACTTGGACCAAAGCGGCTGAAGCTGTTAGGAATGGTGGGAGTCGAAGTCCAAAACACCTGGAGGGCCCAAGTTGGCCCATGCCTGTACTAGACCAAGTTTTAACTTGATCCATTGAAGTGCTCCAATCCTAACAAATATAGTTTTTCAAAATCAAACTTTTCCACAAATATGTTCCATGTTCCTAGTTTCCAAGAGACCTCACAACCTCTAGATACAGATGAAATATCAGGAGAGAATGCTTCTGGAACATGGCCGTAAAGCCCAAAAAACTCACAACAACCCAGTGATTCTGGCCATGAAAGCTTTCAATGATACTTTCCCACACTCTTTCAAGGAAGCAATATGAAAGCTAACACCTTTTGTTAAGTAAAGGAAATTCACCTCATCAAACCGCCACAGTGAAAGTTAACTATCAGAAGCCAGCATTACACATGGAAGAGTGTAATTAACACTTCCAAGTCACTGGGAGAAATTCCCCGTCACTTCCGCAGGATACATGGGCTACAAGACAAACTGAACCAACAGACCTCACAACCTCTGAGGATGCCTGCCCTAGATGTGGGTGAAATGTCAGGAGATGATGCTTCTGGAACATGGCCATATAGCCCAGAAAACTCACACCAACCCAGTGATTCCAGCCACGAAAGCCTTCAACAACACAAGTATTGAAGAAAGCAGTTTCACTGTGCAGAGAGTTACATAGGATATCCTGGAACATGTTTGAGACTCTGATGGTTGAGTTTGTTATCTGGCTGCTGCAGTTAGAATCAAGCTCAAAACTGCATTAAATAGTCAGTGGGGAGGGGGCCCCTGTGGGACTGGATGAAATTCAAGACTTGAAGCAATCACCTCCTAACAAAGAATTCCCCCCAGGCCGCAACCAGCCAGGCTTTGAACTGCAGGGCCATTCAATACTAATCAAGGCAGACAATTTCAACCTTCACACTTGCCTCAAACAGACAAGAGTTGGTTGCTATGAGTTTTCCAGGCTGTATGGCCACGTTCCTGAAGCCTTCTCTCCTGACGTTTCACCCACATCTATGAAAGGCATCCTCAGAGGTTGTGAGGTTTGTTGGTTCCATTTCTCTTGTTGTCTATGTATCCTGCGGAAGTGATGGGGGATTTCTCCCAGACTTGGAATTGTTAATAACACTTATTAAGTAAAGTTTATATATCTGTGGAAAACCATACATTTAAAACTCTTTGGAAAAGTAATTATGAAGCAGGTAACAGTTCTGCACCTATACAGTTTTTGGCAAGGAGATGGAAAACATCCAATTTCCTCACTTGCTGGAAACAGCAAGTCTGACAAATGACTGCAGGAGGAAAGAAAGCAGGTATGGGCAAACTCCGGGTCTCCAGGTCTTTTGGACTTCAACTCCCACAATTCCTAACAGCCGGTAGGAATTGTGGGAGTTGAAGTCCAAAACACCTGGAGGGGCCAAGTTTGCCCATGCCTGCTGTAAATGCACCCTGAGCTGTATGTCTGTGTGTGTGTTTTAGTATTGTCTGGTAAGCTGGGTTGTTGTAAGTTTTTCGGGCTTTTTGGCCATGTTCTTGAAGCATTCTCTCCTGACATTTCGCCTGCATCTGTGGCAAGCATCCTCAGAGGTTGTGCGGTAGGCTTTTAGGAATTGTGGGAGTTGTAGTCCAAAACAACTGAAGGGCCCAAGTTTGCCCATGCCTGTGCTAGACCCCGAGATATATATATATATATATATATGTGTGTGTGTGTGTGTGTTTTATGTGTGTGTGTTGTGTGTGGCTAGCGGGTGTGTCGAAGGCTTTCATGGCTGTAATCGCTGGGTTGTTGTAAGTTTTTTGGGCTTTTTGGCCATGTTCTTGAAGCATTCTCTCCTGACGTTTCGCTTACAACTATGGCAAGCATCCCCAGGGGTTGTGAGGTAGGCTGTTAGGAATTGTGGGAGTCAAAGTCCAAAACATCTGGAGGGCCTAAGTTTGCCCATGCCTGAAATAAAGCTTTCCCAGGTCCCTAGAATATAGGGTAGGTAAATCACGAGTCGAAGTGGTGTACTTTGGAAGGTCACATCATGAAACTGGACTTTTTTTTTTCACTCCTCCCCAAGCACACACACACATAAGAGTACACATATGTCTTCTTTCTGGTTCAGTGCCCGCAGAAGGAAAGGGGAAAGGTGATTTTGCAAAGGGACTGGAGCGATGGAGGTGAAGGAGGCGTCGAAGGGGGAAGAGGGAGGAGATCCGCTCACTCTGGGACTTTGCATCAACTTGCTCGGGTCTCTTTCACAGCCGAGCTCTGCTGCAAGGAGGACACCGGCTGGGCATCCCAGTGCAGGGCGCGCGACCGACCGACCGCCCAGGGGCCAAAGTTGCGAGGGAGACGTTGTTGTCCGGAGACCCGCCCCCCCCCCCCGCTCGCCACTCCCGCCCTTAAAGGCGCCGCTTACCTCGGAGAGAGAGCAGCGCCGCCAGAGGGGCCACCCAAAGCCCCCAGCTCGAGGCGCCCTTGCCAGTCATGCCGGGCGCGGGCGGCAGCAGCAGCGGAGGCGGCAGCCCGAGCGCCTTCTCCTCCTCCTCCTCCTCCTCCTCCTCCTCCTTCTTTCCTTCCTCCTCAACTGGACTGCCGTTAGGTGCCGGGCAGAGAAGGCAAAAGGGAAAGGAGCTCCCGAGCCGGGGCGGCGGCTCCCGCTGCAGCAGAGCCAGCCGCTCCGGCTCCTCCCGCTGCAGCAGCAGGAGCAGCCGCCGTTGCCGTGGTGGTGAATGCCGCTGCTGCTGGTCTTGCCGCTGCTGCTGTCCCGGGACCGCCTGCTTTGCGCCGCCCGGGGAGGCTCCGGAGCCCCGGGGAGAGAGGCGAGAGGCTAGAGGCGAGGAGGTCTGCGAGCCGGAGCGAGAGCGCCACCCAGTTGCGGAGGAGGAAGAGGAGGAGGAGGAGGAGGCGCGGCTGGCTTGGACCACTGGACGACGCCCCTGCTGGAGGAGGAGGAGGAAGGGGGGGAAAGAGGGGCACGGAGAAGGGGTCGCGGGGGGGGGAGGGGTTGTCCGGCCGGAATGGCCTGAGAGAAATGGGCGGGGCCACCAACGCCTCTCACCTGGAGAAGGAAGGAGAGGCGCGTGAAGGTAGCCAGTTTCCCTCCCTCCCTCACGCGCCCCCCTCCCCTCTCCTCCCCTCCCCGCCCCGAAAAAGGCGCCGCTGAACTCCGCTCGTCCCAAAGTTCGGAGAGGTGCCCCCCTCCCCTCCCTCTCGCTCTCGCGCTCCACCTGCCTCGCGCTCTCACTTACCTCTCAGCGCGTGGATAAGGAGGGAAAGCGGGGCGGGAGGGGAGATTCCAAACTCTCAGTCTTCGCGCCTCTCCTCCGTTCTCTCAGGGGGGAAAGGTGTGCGTGTATATAGAGTATATGGAGGTGTCCTCACCCGTTCAAAGGTGCCCAAGCGGACCTTTGGCGAGGAGGAGGGGCTCCCCAAGAGTGACCCTGCACGGACCTTTGGCGAGGAGGGGCTCCCTCTCCGTGGCGACATTGCACGGAGGGCACTTCTAGGAAGCATCCTGGCTCCTGAGCGGGAAAGGGAGTTGTCGCGCCCCTGGGGGATACAGAGCGGGTCCCCGAGTGTCAGCAGGTTTGGGGGTTGCCGAGAAGAGAGGGGGAAGCAAAGCAATGCTAATCGAGGCATTTCTCATTCATCGTGTCCGAAGCGAGTTGACGGTACACTTAACATGTCTTTAAAAGCACAAAGTTTGTTTCTTTGACCAGAAGTGTTCTTTGGAGTGCCTCTAGTGCAATGTTTCTCAACCTTCCTAATGCCGCGACCCCTTCAGACAGTCCCTCATGTTGTGGTGACCCCCAACCAGGCATGTAGCGGGGGGGGGGGGCTGGGGGGGCTTCACCCCCTAAAGACTAAAGTTTGGATTATTATTAATTTTTTGGTTGTGTCAGGAGTGACTTGAGAAACTGCAAGTCGCTTCTGGTGTGAGAGAAGTGGCCGTCTGCAAGGACGTTGCCCAGGGGATGCCCGGATGATTTGATGTTTTTATCATCCTTGTGGGAGGCTTCTCTCATGTCCCCGCATGAGGAGCTGGAGCTGATAGAGGGAGCTCATCCGCCTCTCCCCGGATTCGAACCTGCGACCTGTCGGTTTTCAGTCCTGCCGGCACAGGGGTTCAGCCCCCCCCCCCCGAAATTCTCATGGTGGTCCGGGAGAAGGCCTTACTGGTACATTATTTAAACTGTTATGTTTATTCATATCATGATCTCATCACCATGCTCAATATATCCCATATGCATGGGGTATTGGGGTAACGATACAAAAGGTTTGCTAGGGTAGACCCTCTTTCACTCAGACTCAGCCCCCCCCCCCCCCCGAAACAAAATCCTGGCTACGGGCCTGCCCCCAACCATAAAATTATTTTTTTTTCATCCCCAAAGGGGGACTCAGGGCGGCCTCATACAAGCATCATGTGATGCTATCAGCATATAAACAAACAAGGATTACAGTTAGAACAGTAAAAAAAATCATTAAAACACATTATACGAATTCATTAAACAAGTTTGTTAAATTAAACATGCCAATTAAAACCAAGACCAAGTCGGGTAAATCCAATGTTGCAGATGTCCTAAATTTTCTTTCCACTTGCCACTGTCCACTAATCGAATGCCTGGTCCCAAAGCCAAGTCTTCAGGGGGGAGGTGGCCAACCTGATGTCCTTAGGGAGGGAGTTCGACAGATGGGGGGCCACTGCCAAGAAGGCCCTGTCTCTCGTCCCCACCAACCACATTTGCGAAAATGGTGGGATCAAGAGCAGGGCCTCCTCTGATGATCTTAAGCTTTGTGATGGTTCGTAACAGGAGATGTCTTCAGACAGGTAATCCGGGCCAAAACCATTTAGGGCTTTATAGGTTAAAACCAGCACTTTGAATTGTGCCCAGAAGCTGATCGGCTGGCGCAACAAAGGAGTAGTAAGCTCCCTGTATGCCACTGTACAATTATTTCCCACAATCACATGTCATGAACGCCACTTTGTGCCCTATTTCTTAAGGTTACCTCTGCATCTTGTGGTGGCAGAGCGCAGCCTGTTCAGCGCCTTCCAGGTCACCCAGTCTTCAGTGCACCCAGGAGGGAGTTTCTTATCCAGTCTCAGCCATTGAGTCCCCCACTGGGTTGAGAAAAGCAGTATAAAATAAATAATAAATAGATACAGGTGCTGAGTTTTATATATTTATTTTATTTATTTAGAACATTTATACCCCGTTCTTCTCAACCACCAAAGAGGGACTCAGGATGGCTTCCAACAGGCAACTATTCGATGCTGACACAATATAGCATACATTAAAAACAGTTGTAAATATACATTAAAACAGTTTGTTGGTCAAATAGTCATCCAAATTAGTCCATTGTGGTCCACTAAAACCTTATCTTCGCCAGTAAATCAGTCTATTCTGCAAATGCTTGATCTCACAGCCAGGATTTGAGTTTATTCCAGAAGATCAGGAGGGATGGGGCAGATCTAATCTCATAAGGGACGGAGATCCACAGCTGAGGGGCCATCACCGAGAAAGCCTTGTCTCTCGTCCCTACCAAACGTGACTGCGATGGCATTGGGACCGAGAGCAGGGCCTCACCAGATGATCTTAAGGTCCTTGGTTGTTTGTAGAGGGAGATACATTCAGACAAATAAACTGGGCCAGAACCGTTTAGGGCTTTATATGTTAAGACCAGCACTTTGAATTGTGCCTGGAACCTTTTTTTAACCTTCCACTTTTGGATTCTCACGTGCTGACGTGTTCCTGTGATACTTATTAATCAAGGTGATTGACTGCGACATTCATACTTATCTCCAACAGACAAGAGTTCTTTCTCCCACCCTGAACTTTCCACAGATACAGTATATAAAACTTCCTTGCTTATTTCCTAACAGACCTCACAACCTCTGAGCATGCCTGCCATAGATGTGGGTAAAATATCAGGAAAGAATGTTTCTGAAACAGGGCCATACAGCACGGAAAACTCACAGCAACCCAAAATATGCCATTTCTTCTTTTCCTCCCTTTTTTCTTCTCTCCTTTCCTCCCTTTCTCATTCAAGATTATGAACCAGAGTAGTTTTTTAATCTAACTTTCAAGGGAACCAACATGACTGCCAACTGCTGGACCAAGAGACCAAGGTTCAAAGTCCTGCTTGGCCAGTCCGGAAGTCTGAACTAGTTTGGCCGAAAAAAAAACTTTACTCCATTGGGTCACCTTCAATCACAAATGACTGAAGTCACACAATAACACACCATTGAGGTAGCAACTCCTGCAGTTTTCTGTAGCGAGGGGAGGGGGAGTATGAATCCCAAATTGATATGTTCTCCATACAGATGGAAACAAAGAGGAAGCGTGGACTCATAGAGTAGGAAGAGATCACAAGGGCCATCCAATCCCACCCATTGTCATGCTTTGAAGCTCTACTTTTGAGTCTCATCCATGGGAATAAAGTGGGATGAAAATTAATAATAATAACAACAACAACAACAACAATAATAATGCAGGAAAACAAAAGCACCCCTGATGGCCATCCAGCCTCTGCTTCCACCTCCACTATGCTCCATGGTAGAATACTCCAGATCTTCCTAATGTTTAAATCATAAGAATTGGAAAAGACCTCATGGGCCATCCAGTCCAACACCTGTCAAGAAGCAAGAAAATTGCATTCAAAGCACCCCCAACAAATGGCCATCCAGCCTCTATTTAAAAGCATCCAAAGAAGGAGCCTCCACCACAGTCCGGAGCAGAGAGTTCCACTGCTGAACAGCTCTCACAGGAAGTCCTTCCTCATGTTCAGGTGGAATCTCCTTTCCAGTAGTTTGAAGCCATTGTTCCATGTCCTAGTCTTCAGGCCAGCAGAAAACAGGATTACTCTTTCCTCCCCGTGACTTCCCCTCACATATTATACATGGCTATCATGTCTCCTGTCACCATTCTCTTCTGAAGGCTAAACATGCCCAGCTCTTTAAGCTGCTCCTCATAGGGCTTGTTCTCCAGACCCTTGATCTGGACACTTTCCAGCTTTTCAACATCTTCCTTCAGCTGCTGTGCCCAGAACAAGTGTGGTCTGACCAAGGCAGAAAAGAGGAGTAGCATGACTTCCCTGGATCTAGACACTAGATTCCTATTTATGCAGGCCAAAATCCCATTGGCTTTTTTAGCTACTGCATGACATTGTTGGCTCATGTTTAACTTGTTGTCCACGAGGATTCTAAGATCTTTTTCACACGTACTGCTCTCAAGCCATGCATCCCCCATTCTGTATCTTTGCACTTCATTTTTTTTTCCTAAGTGGAGTATCTTGCATTTGTCTCTGCTGAACTTCATTTTGTTAGTTTTGGCTCATCTCTCTAATCTGCTAAGATCATTTTGAATTCTGCGCCTGTCTTCTAGGGTATTGGCTATCCCTCCCAATTTGGTGTCATCTGCAAACTTGATGATCATGCCTTCTAACACTTCATCTAAGTCATTAATAAAGATGTTGAACAAAACCAGGCTAAGAATGGAACCCTGTAGCACTCCACTCATCACTTCTTTCCAGGATAGGTGGAATCTTTTTTTCCTGCAATTGGAACCCATCGCTCCCTGTCCTAGTCTCCAGAGCAGCAGAAAACAAGCCTGCCACCTCCTCAATGTGACATCCTTTCAAATATTTAAACATTGCTATCATGTCCCCTTGCAGACTTTTTCTCTCTCCAAGCCAAACATAGCCAGCTCTTCATAGGGCTTATTTTCCAAACCTTTGATCATTTTGGTTGCCCTTCTCTGGATACATTTTTGCTTGTCAATATCCTTCAGTGTGTTCCTCTGAAAAATAACCCATAACACCTGGTATTCCCTTAGCTTTCAAAATCTGACATGTTCTTGTGTCTTCAGGGTATTTAGACCCTAATGTATTGTACCAGAATTCTTAATTCAATGCAGGTGGATGA